TGGAGCTGGAAGCTGAGAACTGGCGACTTTGTAGTACAACTTTAGTAGGCGGAGTATCTGGAGAGCTGGAAGATGAGATCTGGCGACTTTCTAGTACAACTTTAGTACGCGGATGAGTCATCTCTCGCGGCTGAGTCATCTCTCGCGGCTGCTCTGGCGCCCCTGCAACTGAGTCATGTCTCCCGACCACCCGGCTCTCTTGAGAGGTTGACACACACACAGAGACCCACGCACTGCCTCAACTTACTCGGACACACACACAGACAGAGACTCATACACACACAGACATAGATACACACACACAGAGACCCACACATTGCCTCAACTCACTCGACTTAACACTTCACACTGAACACTTAACAGATAACTCACACTCTGACTTCCTACATGATGAAAAATCCTTTCGGGCCACTCGTCATCTAGTTTTTGTTGTGTTGCTTTTCGTTTTCCTTTTAAAGGGGGCGGGCCACCAGTTTTCTTTTTGTTTTGTAAGGCAGGCCCCCCTCCTGGGCCTGGAGCTTCCGGGGCAGCCCACAATTCTGGTGGCCAGCCAGGCCTCCCTCTAGAGCCAGCCCCTGCCATATTTTTTTGGCAGAACTCCCAGACCATTTTGAGTGCATCGAAACTTTCGATGATTTTGCGAGTGGATGCGCTCAGATGAAAATGGGCACCAGATTCACTTAAGGGGCTTGTGGTACATGACTATTGTAGCCAGCGTTAAAAAGGCAAATGAAAGTCATCCTAATGCCAACTATGGCTAAGCTGCTGTGTTTTTTTCCTGATATGATTTGTGGTCAGTGTTACTGTGCCGGGGCAATGCCCAATTTATATGATTTTATATGTAGTTTGGCCCGAACATGTCTAAAGAGATCCTAAGGGGCTTCAAAGCTGACAGATCACGTTTAGAGATTCCATTGTGCAGTCGGAGGTATGACGCAACAAACTTTGGCAATGTGTTGCGGGAACCTTACCCGACCTTTGATCATGACAACGTTGGACGGAAGGCTTCGTTCAAACCCTTTTCAGCCAGTTTCTACTCACCTTGGGATATCAGATTGCTATATCAGGCTCACATGGACACCTTGAGATTCAGTCGAAACCTTCGTCTCTGACCCCGAGACACCACATGTCGTTTACGTGCTATTATATTGCGCGTATTATTTGCGGATGCTTTTCCAGCTTGTTTGCCATGCTGCGTTTGAACCCTAGTCCCAGCAAAATCGGCGCTGAGGAACCCGTCCACTTGCTATTGGATCGACCTTGGAAACGGCAACTTCAGTGCTGCCACGTTCGATTCACGTGGTTCAATCTTTAACGAGGCGAAAAACTTCCTCAGGAAAAGAGCACCCTCAAGTCTTTCATCCTTGCAGGACTCGTGCGTCACCATGCACACCGACTACTTTGCGATTTTGGCAGACAATCTTGCATCAGAGAGCTCCCCTCAGCAGTCTGGCATACTGGACCCCAACTTGGTGTATATAGTGACTAGTGCTTCCGGCAACCGAGGTTATGACTAACATGTTACAACATAAAATTTGGACAATTGAAGGTTGTGAATGAGAGCTGCAAAGATTTGCAGCATCAAGCTCGGCATGAGGCTTGAGATTGTCCAGCAGACGCCGGGAGAATTCTTGAGTATGAGCCACAGTGTCAGGGAGAAGCACCAGTGTAGAGGAAGTACTCGGTGGTTCATGGATTCCAGAATAGTCTCCGCACTGCATTTGGAGCCGACGCCCAGGCCAATATGATGAAGAGTTCACCACCACGGCCAACGTCGTCACGGCTGTTTGCCTCTTGGGGAAGTCGCGCCTTTTGTAGTTGCATACCTTGTCCACACCAATAAAGATGCCCTATGGGCTGCGCCGAGACTCTGGTCCTGGTTGCCTGTGCTGGCTTTGTGCTGCCCCTAGCTAACTCTGGATTGGATTGGTAGAAATCAAGCCTGTTCGAGGCACGAAACTGCTCTCATAAGGTTATGGTGTCGGTCTACGTTGACGAGCACGATGCAGCAAACAAAGCTCTCCCTGCAGAGATTCAAGCGATGACTCGTCTAGACGAACACTTTGGCACATTCATTGCAGGTCACTCCGCTCGATAGTCTGAAGACGCAAGTGATTGTCCAAAACTTAGCTCTGGAGTGGGATTCAGGTGGCAAGGTCCATTGGGAGACCAACCCCTCTTCCCGCAGAAAGAAGCTGAGTGCAAGCAGGGCGACAGCCTTTGCAACAAATGAGAAGTTCGTGGGGTTTCCTTCCAATCAATCCTGAATCAACCCCGCCTTTGATAAGGATCGGGACGACCCGAAGGAGAAAGTTTTGGGCACAATTTTTCAAGCGATCAGGCGGCTTGGCTTTTGGAAGCCTCCTGAAAGCCTTTACAAAAGGCAGTCTTGGTTTCGGGCTTTTGGATTGCCTTTTCTTTCAAGGCTGCAGATGAGTAGTTTCTGGCCAGGCGAAATCACCTAGTGATTGGCTGGAACTACTTTCATTTAAGACTGACCCGGGTTCGTCGAGCCTGACCCTTGGGACTTCACCATTAGTAGCGTCCGTGCTCCTAGTAGCGATCCTAGCAGTAAGGCCAGGAGCCCCTAGTAGCGACCTTCCTCCTAAGTTTGGTACAAATTCTGTGGCAAAACCGAGGCTGGCATTTTTATCACTGCCATTTTTGCGACGGAGGCACTGAGAACAGCATGAACATGCGATTCCATGCAACTCGCAAAGCGGGAGCCGCATAGACTGACCCCTAGCCTAAGTTGTGGCACTTGACGCAAGACTGACCCCCTATGTGCCAATAGCTTTTGCAGCTGCAGGCTTTAGCTGTTCTTCAACATTCCCTCTTGGCATTCAAGGAGTGGCACGCACATTTTGTGCAATGTCTTCGTTTTTTCCAAAGGGGATGAACTTGTTAGGCAGAATCGGCGTGGGCTGCTAGTGGCCTCGTCGCTGCAGTGCTGGTTTTCCCGATCGCAGGGATCCTGTGCTTCTGATTTGCGCTGTTTACATTTGGTTGTTGTCGCTTCACTCTTGACCCTATGTTCCATTCTGCATTGTTGTCTCTTGTAGCCCTAATGTTATGCATTCATATGATGTCCAACGTCTGGTACGCAACATTTTCCTCAGCAGGAAATAGGAAGCTCCATTTCCAGTGTTTCTGAGACAGCATCACCACACAGACGGACACACACACACACATGCACATGCATACACACACAATCACACACACACACATATTTATTTTATACATATATAATCATATATATATATAGATTCCTCACACACAATCACACACACATATACATATATATATATATTCTGTAATACTGTATACTGTATACACATATTATATGTATACATGCTCACACTGTTCAAGGTCCTGCCATGGTGACGAGGGTCTGCAGTATCCTTCCTTGGAATGGTAAAAGGCCGTGCAGAAGTTGCTTTGCCGGAGAATCACCTGCATATCTAGCCGAATCGTGGTGGCCATGCAGATCAGGTGGATTTCATCTGCTGCATGCGTTTTGGCGGTTAAGGGGGGTTCGGATAGCAGTTGTGAGATTTTTATGGGAAAGCAACTTTCTGCCTGGCAGATTACGAAGAAAGCTCTTTGGGATAGGGTGCGGGGAGCATCCTTGGAGATTTCTATGCAACAGGGACCTTTGCTTCAGATGTCCTTGGAGCTAGAGGAGATGCCGGGAGCACCAGCAGAATGTCCTTTGGGAGTACTTGCCATCCAACTCTTCCTCCTGGACATGCTGAGGGCGCTGCCTCAGCACTCACAGCAGGCCGAGACAGCGGCCTGGTTAGAAAAGTTAATTCGTGAAGCAATTTTCCTGAGAAATTGGTCGGACATCATCAGCTCTGGCTGGCCAATCTTTGGTCTTCTTGCACGGCTTTCAATGCTTGGGACACCCGGCCAAACAGACACTGACGTTTGGCACAAGCTCATAGCAAGAAAGCTGGTAGCACCATCAGTCGATCAATTGCAGGAGAATATCCAGGACATTGTGAACCTTGAGCTGGCTGCAGCCGACCAGCCTTCCCGTTCGTTGTTTAGCAACTTTTTCAATCCTGGTTCAACTTCACTTTGGACTGATTTGTCCTCGAGGAGTCAAGAATACATTTTCCAGGAGGCTATCCTGGGAGGCGGTTCACAAGCGCCAGCATTTGCAGCATATTATTTCCTCAAGAACTTGCGCACAGAATTCGCGGGTTTCTCTGGCCCAGTGGACCCTTTTCTTCACCAAGTTCTTGCAAATTTGAAGTCTGCTGACTTCAACTGCTGGGATGTGGGCGCTGCACCCGTGCCAAAGAGTAACAACCCGGATGAGCCATCTGATGTTTGGCAAATTTGCTCGGACTTTGGGCTCAAAACTCGCGCGTTTGAGCCCTCGAAGAGTGGCTACGGACGTCTCCAAGCAAGCGCATCGAGATCATTGCAGATGCACAGACTTGCGCTCTCGAATTTCACAGGGGAGGCCTACTTCAATCGTGGCGGTCAAGTCACAGGTTCTTTGGGCACCCGAGGCTGTGGCTTGGAAGCAAATTCAGCGCCATGAAATGTAGCATGAGATCACGTGCTGAGACTCACAACGAGGATGGGGGATTATTGAGCTTGAAATATTGCATTTGTGAACGTCAACGTCATCTCAAGGAATCCTAGGCTACATACATGACAATGCCCACGGATTTGCTGGATGTTTGAGTTTGCTGAACCTGGATATTCGATTCTTTTTGGTCCAAGCTGCTTTTGGCACTTGCCATCCCGCCCTATTGAAGCTTGCTCGATGGGAAACAGCAGCTCCTCACCGGCCGCCTCACTTGTCACAGGCCAGAGGCTGTCAAAGCTTTTCAACTGAGCCTTCTTTGGTCTCAACATGGTTCCAGTGAATTTGTGCTCAGACCTCAGGCGACCTCTCAGGAATTTTCCCGCAGCAAGTTGGTCCCCCCTCGCAATATGTGCCTCAGCCAGCAATACAGCAATACTCACCAACCAGGACTGATAGAACGGTTCTTGCCCGATGCACGCCACTTTTGGCCTGTGGCTGAAGGCGAAGACCATTCAGCATTGGATCCATGTCATCCTCGTGCTGCAGGCACGTGCTTGTGCCGTACCCGTCTCACTGAATGCCTTGCCTCAAGAAGGTGAGTTGCTTTGTGTTCAGCTCAGGTCACTGCTTGTGTGCTACGTGGTGTAGTGCTGCTTGACCTGTTGGGCTGCATTTGGATGGTACTGCTTTGCGGAGTGGGGTACTACGCCTGGTACCATGCTCCCCGGTTGGGCCTTGTGTAATTATGCAACTTTGCGATTGAGCAAGGTGTGCTAATTTGGAGGCAGTTCGCATGATAGGCAAGACCAGATTTCAACCTGACCTCAGGAGATGCACATTACCTACATATCACTCTGGGGGGCTGTTTGCGCTCTTGGTACTTTGCTGGATATTTTGGGATTCATCATCCCAGTAGCCACAGGCTTAATCAAGCTTGAGCTTCTCTCTACTGTTGTCCGCACCTAGACCGCAGCAACTTCATGGCTGATTGACGGATGATTGGAATCCATGTGTAGATACGATTTTACAAGGGTGAACCATGCCGCTGTCAATGCAACGCGTGAGGCATCGGAACGCCTTGTACTGAACTCTTGGGGGCCCTGCTCGCATGGCATTTGTATAGGGATTACCAAGTCTCGCGTGGCGAACAACCCTTCGGCAGCTTTGATCCTTTGGGCAGGACAGGGCTGCACTTCGTGCAACTGCAAGGCCACTCAACGACCAACTTAAAGTTCAGGTTCATTCAAACTGCTTCGCATTGCTTATGAGTGCTGAAATCAATTCCACCTTGATCCAAGCAGGACCTTTGAAGGGTGGGATCCAGAGTCCAACCCAATCCTCAAGGGCCTGAGCGCAGCAGGCTTCACAGCCGAAAAGAAGTATCAGGATTGGACGGCATCACTTTCAACTGCACACACACACACACCATGGTTTTGTTGTGAGCTGCATCTTGGTGCAGCTGATTCTTGCTGTCAGTCACTTCTCAGGAGCAATATGGCAGCTCAAATCCGTTTGAAACCGTCGTTGCTGACCCATGGAAGACGGCACCAACTCATTCACCAAAGAAGCAGAACTCTGGCTGCTGCTGAGAGATAGAACTTGGACCTCTCTGAGCTGGAGGAAAAAGTCCAAGTCCCACTGTCCATTTAAAATTAATTAGTAGCTGCTTAATAGCTGATTGTTACTACTAGTAAGGCACTTGTTACTAGAAGCGATGCACTTGTTCCTAGTAGCTTATTGTTTCTAATAGCTTACTTATTGTCTAATAGCTTCTTGTTCCTAGTATTAAGGCACTTGTTACTAGAAGCGATGCACTTGTTCCTAGTAGCTTATTGTTTCTAATAGCTTATTGTCTAGTAGCTTATTGTTACTACTAGTAAGGCACTTGCTACTAGAAGCGGTGCACTTGTTCCTAGTAGCTTATTGTTTCTAATAGCTTATTGTCTAATAGCTTCTTGTTCCTAGTAGTAAGGCACTTATTACTAGAAGCGATCCACTTATTCCTAGTAGCTTATTGTTTCTAATAGCTTATTGTCTAATAGTGTATTATTGTTAC